GCAGCGATCCCACCCAGCCTCCTCCCGTATTCCCCCTTTCATCCCATTTCCCTCCCTTGCGCTACTTTTCCTCCTTTTCTCCACGCAGTCAGAGAATGGGTTGGGTTGGGGACACCTCTCACCAGACCAGCTCCATTTCACCTCCTTCTCTCCAGTTCCCCCTTTCTCCAGCATTCCTCTCCTTCTCTAATTTCCTCCTTGTCTCCCATTTTTCCTTCTTTTCTCCAATTTTCTCCCTCCTCCAATTTTTCTCCCTTTCTCTTTCAGTATTTCCTTTCCTTTCCTTTCCTTTCCTTTCCTTTCCTTTCCTTTCCTTTCCTTTCCTTTCCTTTCCTTTCCTTTCCTTTCCTTTCCTTTCCTTTCCTTTCCTTTCCTTTCCTTTCCTTTCCTTTCCTTTCCTTTCCTTTCCTTTCCTTTCCTTTCCTTTCCTTTCCTTTCCTTTCCTTTCCTTTCCTTTCCTTTCCTTTCCTTTCCTTTCCTTTCCCTCCCCCTCCCTTCCCTTCCCTTCCCTTCCCTTCCCTTTCCCTTTCCTTCCCTTCCCTTTCCCTAATTCTCCTTTTGTCTAATTTCCCTCCTTTCCTCCAATCTTCCTCCTTCTCTCCAACTTCCTTCCTCTCATTTTCCTCCTTTCTCCCAGTTTTCCCTCTTTTCATAGCATCCCAGCCTGGTTTGGGTTGAAGGGACCTTCCAGCTCCTCCAGCTCCAGCCCCTGCCCCGGGCAGGGACACCTTCCACTAGAGCAGGGTGCTCCAAGCCCCTGTGTCCAACCTGGCCTTGAACACTGCCAGGGATGGGGCAGCCACAGCTCCTCTGGGCACCCTGTGCCAGTGTTTTCCAGCTTTCCTGCCCTTCTCCCGCTGTCCTTTCCCATCCTGGTACCTGCAGATGGCCGACTGGCTGTAGGCAGGACCCTCGGTGGCCGTCAGGGCCTGTCCCACCTGCGTCTGCGTCAGCCCGAGGGACAAGCGGCGGATCTTGAAGTTCTTGGCGAATTCCCGGATCTCCTCCAGGTTAATCCCATCCTCCTCCGTGCTGCTGTTGGGAGCCGGGGGCTCTGCCGGGGCCGGGACATGGTGCTGATGAGGAATGGCCACGGAGCCTTCTCCCCCCGCCAATAACGAGCATCCCCTTTGATGGGCTCCACAGCACATGGTACCAGCAGCCACCCCAGGGATGCAGAGCGCGGGTGCGGAGCATCCTCCCCCCATCCCAGGGAATCTCAGACCCCGCATTCCCTCTTCCCAGCGATCCCAGGCCCCTGCCGTGACTCACTGGACACCAGCTGGCTGACGGTGGGGGTCTCGGAGCAGGTGATGGGGACGGGCACGGAGGAAGCCTTGGCTGCTTCCGGGGCAGGGTTTGGGACCACCACGGCCGGCTGGGCGAGAGCCGGGGCCGGCTGGATGGGCTGGACCTGGGCAGAGGGAGGGGGGTCAGCACCCCTATGACACCCCCATGGCACCCCCATGGCCGGGGGTCCCCCATCCCCGCTCTCTGCCCTCTGGCTCCATCCCTGCACCGGCCACCACGTTGCTTTTGCTGAGTGTAGGGTGGAGGTGACACTGGGAAGAGCCCAGCTCCACACTGGGAATGGGGCTGTGACAGCTCTGGGTGGGCTCTGGGGTGTCCCACTCCCACCAGGTAGGTTTGGGGGTGACCAAGGTGAGGCTCGGGCCCATCCCATCCTGGCTGAGAGACTTGTTTGGGACACAGA